GGGGAGGGGCTGGTGGGTGGTTTCGGGGAAAAATACAGAACAGGGTGCGGCGGCGGCGGCGGCGGCGGAGTATTCTTGGGAGGAATCGGAAACGAGATGGGAGAGCCATTCGAGGTCTTCGAAATCTCCTGAAGAAACAGACCAGAAGGCGTCTTCGGAGGAATTAGTGGAGCTGTGGTTGGAGTTTTCGTCGCTCTCTTGCAGGGGAGCAGAAACAGAGATGGAGTGTTTCGGTTTTTCTTCTTCTTCCTCTTCCTCAATAAACCCATCTTCTTCATTTGAAAAATTTAGGAGTTGGTCCACAAAAAAGTTATCGGAGGAGGAGGAGGATGGGGGGATTTGCGAACTGGGAGACCAAAATTCGTCCAAATAAACTTTGGAGCTGGATTTGAAACTCGTGTCCTTCACAACGCGCATCTTCAAATCTCCCTCCTCCATCACATTCAATACCTATAAAAAAAACAAGAGAACGAATTACATTACAGAAAGAAGAAGAAACTGATTGAGAAATGAAATTGAGGGATTGGGCATATTGAAGAAGTGAAGAGCGTACCAGAGGAAGAGGAAGAGGAAGAGAAAGGGGAAAACGGAAAAAGGGAAAGAACGGTGAGTTGGGTAAAACATTCAATGAAGCAGAACGAAAGGCACCATTGGCCTTTACTGGAAAAACATTATTGGATTTGTAACTGCCCTTTCTCCTTTTTCTTTTTCTCTCCTTTATTTAATTTTTCTAGAAATATACTTTCAATTATAACTTTATATTTACGTTTCAAATTTCAACTCACATGGAGATATGAAGTGCATGGGCTTTTTTCTTCCTTTTTTTTTTTTTCTGCCACCGCGCGAAAGCATTTCTTTATTTTAACTAAATTTATTTAAGAAGCTATAGATATGTTAAGTGATTGATTGAGATGAAGCTTATAAATTATGGTTTTGTTCGAGAGTTGAACGTTCCCTAACAATTAAAGCAAGTTTATAGATGATGTGTATAAGATTAACAACTATAAATTTGAACATGAACTCAAACTCTACGATTTATTTACTCGTATAAAAAAGATATTCTAAATTTTTTTGATTTCAAACGGTACAAAAGCAGAAGCAAGCATTTCAAATATTTAAACTAAGCCTACGTTATTTCAACTTTAGATTGGATTGTTCACGCCTTTCATTCTTTTGCTTTCCCCTATATTCAACCAAATTTCAGAAAAAAAGAAACAAAAAACCAACAACAATTTGATAGTGATATATTCTTTTTCTTCCATTGTGGTTGTGAAATTATAGAAATCAAACAAATCACTATAAGATGATGCCAAGCCCAATGGACTCAAATAGTGTTTTAAGCCCAGTAGGCTGATTCCCCCAATGATAAAGTTTTGAGTTTTGTATACAGATTACGATAGTCATAAAATCTAAACATAAAATGCTGAAATAAAAATAAATTGAAACAACTTTAAATCAGTTTAAAGTATCCACTATTGGAATATTCACATTCTCAGTTTGTAACTTCGTAAAAGAAAAATATAACTTTTCTTAAAACGATTTTTAAAAACAAAAACCCCACAATTAATTTAAGATTAGAGTACGATGAGATTTTGAAGAGATAAATAGTTGAAAAATGTTGGACGTGATAGTTTAGTAATAGTGAGTCAGCATAATGACTCACCAAGAAGGAGAATGACAACTTGGATCTCTTAGCAGGTCGAGTCAACCAACAACTCTTACTTCGGTCGCATGTGTTATCAATCGAGCCAAGTCACATCTCTTACCTCAATCATCTTGGTTATTAGTTGAGCAAGCATCAATAAACTTTAGCATGAACGAACCTCTAACAGAATTTACGATAACACGCTGCGATTATCAAAATTATCAAAGGTCCTGTCGGAAGTCGAGCCAATAAATAGAGATCTCTCGCCTCATTTTCAGGTTTGTGAACCTATATTCTCTCGAGTATAGATTGGACGACTATTGACTTGAACGTTGAAGTGTTAACTCTATTTACAGGTTCCTTGCTCGCTCTTACGCTCGTCTACAAGTTAGCTCGTCGTTGCCCATCATTGTGACCTAGACTAATTTCTGGATCAAACAAAAATTGGGCCACAAATTTTTTTTTTTTAAGCATAGTTGATCTTTATGAAGTTTGGGCTAGAAATGAGTAACTTAGACACGTTTGATAATATACATATTGTTTTTCGTTTTACTTTTTCCAATTAAAAACCAAATTTAGTAAAAATTATATGAAAGTTAAAATTTTAAAATTAAATATTCAAAAATTGTATGTTATATTTATTATACATGTTATAAGTAAAAATGATAAAGTAATACTCTTAACTATCTTTTCAAAATCGAATTCGAAAAAAAGAAGGTAATTAAAATTTTGAAAAGTGTTTAAATGCTTATATTTGTCAAAAATTAAAAATAAATATAAGAAATGAAAATATTATGGGATGAGAAGAAACGTTAAAAATGAAAGAATAAATGTTTGATGTATGAGAAGTGACATTTTTTTTTCAGTATCATATCCACTCAGATCATTTGTATCATGAATGTCACGGGACAACCGTCTGATCCAACAATATTTAGTGTCGAAAAATACTAATTTCTAAGAAGGTGGTGTTCATAAATTAGAACTCATTCCCTATTAATTACCTCTGGTCCATTAATGGGTCACCCATTATTTGCTTGAAATTAAAATAGCATCCCATTTTTCCGTATAAATTAAAAAGGGATATTTTTGGATTAAGCAAAAACTCCTTACAATAATGTTGAATGAATGGGGAGAAGGGCAGTTGGATGCAATTTATGCTGAAATAGAAAGAAAGAAAGTAGCCGTTGAGATTTTATGAAGTGAAATTATGATAGGAAAAGTGGGTGTCCCTTTTGGTTCGTCATTTTCTGCAAAATTAGAATCTCACACCCACCCAAAAAACCAGTACAAAAGTTCAATAAAAGTTGAGTTGCAAGGCAGATTGGATTAAAGTCTATTCCACTTGACTGCAATAAAGGGAAGTGATGGCCAAGTAGCCGTTGAAATTGAGTGGTCGACAGCAAGAGATTATTGTTCCTACTAAGATACGAATTTTGAAAACAAAATCAAAATCAAAGAACAAAAGAATAAATTAAAATCAAATTGTTTAAGAATGTTTGCAGGGAGGGAGTGGAAATCCACAGAGTCCAGGATTGTGCTTGAATGCAGAGACAGGGAAATGGGCTTTATGGGGCGGAATTCTTCCACAGAGTCTATTTTCCGACACGTCGAATGTTCCAAGCTTCGGCAAATTCAACACCTGTACTGGAATCGCCCCACTCAGCTTGTTCTTCGACAGCAAAACCGTGGTGAGTTCCGCCGAGTCTCCGAGCTCCGCCGGAATTTCACCGGAAAGCTTGTTTCCGGCCACATCCACCACCTGCAACTCACTGAGCTTCCCCAACGACTTGGGGATGTGCCCTTCCAATACATTTTTTGATAGAACTAGTGATTTGATGGATGACATTGCTGCCCTGTCTCCAATATTCACATCAATAAGACCACCAAAATGATTGTGAGAAACATCAATGGAGTTGAAATGGCCGAGTGGGTCTTGAACTCCTTTTGAAAATATGTTGTCGATGTGCCCTGTGAAATGATTGGAATGAAGATCAAGATCCATTAATAGCAGAAGGTTTTTGAATTCGGCAGGGATTGAAGAAGAAAATCCATTGTTTGATAGGTTAAGGAATGAAAGATTGGTCATATTTCCAATCCAATGGGGCAACGGCCCTCTTAATTCATTGTTCGACAAATCAAGAACTGATATTGAAGATGAAGACAACCACTTTGGAAGCTGCCCCTCAATTCCAGTTTGAGCCAAAAATAGCCTGAAAAGTTTCATTTTTGCTAACCAATTTGGTATGCATCGCAACCCAAGTGGATTGAACGAAAGATCTAAGCTCTGTAATCTCTGTAATCTGGATAACTGATGAGGAATTCCACCGGAAAGCAAATTTCTCGACAAGTCAAGAGTTTGGAGGTTTTCTAAATTACCAAAGGTTTTAGGAATCTTGCCGGTAAAAAGATTGTTAGAGAAGAAAATGTCAGTTAAAGTAGTCAAACGGCCAATGGAAGAAGGCAATTTCCCAGTAAGTTTGTTGTTCTCAAGAATCAGCCTTTGGATCTTTGCGAGCTTACCGACGGACGCCGGTAGCCGACCACTGAGCCGGTTTTCCGACAAACGGAAGAATATCAGAGAACTAAGTCCGGCCACCGAAGAGGGAATACTTCCAGTAATCTTGTTCTGATTAAGGTACAGCAAAACCAACTCAGAGAGCCCACCAATCGATTTTGGAATGCTTCCCGTTATCTCATTCTCAGACAAATCGAGATATCTGAGACTTTTAAGGTTGCCAATGCTCGCAGGAATGCTTCCAGAAAAATTGTTGGCATGGAGATCGAGATTTTTCAGCTGAATTAGCTTCCCAATTGAAGTGGGAATTGAACCGGATAGTCTATTTCCGGAAAGACCCAATTCCGAAAGGGACTTCAGATACCCAAAAATAAAGGGAGGGATGAATCCCGAGAGTTGATTGTTACCAAGATAGAGCTTCTGCAGACGAAAAAGGCACCCAAAAGTTCTGGGGATCGGACCCATGAGCTTATTTGAATCGAGAAACAAATGGGTGAGTCGCGATAACTTGCCAAATTCCAATGGAATTCGGCCCTTTATGTCTTTGAGATTGCTGAGGTCAAGAAATTGAAGGTACGACAAGTTTCCGAGAAATGGGGACAAAGCTCCGGACATGTAGGTGTCGGCGATGAAGTCGGTGCCGGCGACGATTCCGGGGCGTGTGACGTTGGTGACTCTGCCGGAGAAATCGCAGCCGACGCCGTCCCAGGAGGAGCAGCAGTCGGTGGCAGATGTCCATGAACGCAGCAGCTGCGAAGGGTCAGAGCTGATCCTGCGCTTGAACTGAAGAAGTGCTTCTTTGTCTGTGGGATGGCACGACTCGGAGAGCAAAAAGAGAAGGAAGAAGGGGAGAGAGAAGGTTTTGAGTGGAACGGAGAACGCCATTTCTGTTGGAATGAGATTAGAGGTGTTGGAGCTGATAGAGTTTATTATATACACCATGATTTGGGGAAACAGAGCTTCTTGTGAACGTTATAAAAGATTATGGGTAATTGGAAATGGACCAAACTTTAATACCATTATGGGGTTAAATTTATTTTAAGTGGTCGTTTGGCATGCCAATTGCCAGGTGTGTTTCACGGATTGAAGGAAAAACGAAACAAAAATATGGAATGTGAAAGAGACCAGTGGCTCAGGGGAGTATTCATGGCTGCCGCGCCCTTGTTCTTGTGATGTGCACACGCTTCATTGGATTGTTATCACATGCATTCCAATGGCTTATTTAATACATCTACTTGGTGTGAGTGAATCAGAAAGATGCTAGTGTTGGGAAAGATTTCTGAGTTCAATTATTAAGATGGGCTCGATTAAAGTTGACTTGGAAATTTAATGGAAAGAAAAATATAATTAGGGTGCAGTTTCGGTGGATTTAACTTAAGATGTCGAACGCATGTTTGTTTCGATTTCTCTAATCTATAAATTTCAATATTACTCCCAAATCTACTTTCTTAGATCTACTCTCTCAAGGCTGATGTTTAAATCCACACTCCAAACACAAGTATTTAAGCACAATTTTTGACGCCCTACTTAAACTTCTTTAATAATTCTTCTTCATGGATTTCTCCTTAAAAATCTTGGGCATGAGCACAATTTTCCACCTGTAAATAAAGATGTCCAATAGCTTGTTTGAGGTATCCCTTGGAGGATTAGACGACATTTGAGGTCAATCTAATTGTGGCTTGTAAGCTATATTATTGGAAGCTTTAGAAAACAAGACATGGGTTAGTTAAAGTCATTAATTTCGTTCCTACCTTGTGCTGGTATCAGTTAGTGTGTGTTTGGAATTATGATAGAATTAGTGATTTTGAAAAAAAAAAATTTACGTCTTAATGATTTTTCAAAATCATCATCCAAGTGATACCTTAGAGTGATTTTAAGTTATTCTAAAATCAATTTTTAATTTGCCAAACATGATCATGAAAATAATTTTCACAATAACAAAAATAATTTTAACATTGCCAACATCACTCTCAAACACATTCTTACAAAAGATAACAATCTAGGATATTGCAAAACCTAGATTCCTAATAACTTAAACAAATCATAATTATTTTGAAAAATAATAATTATAGGTGACAAATCATAAAGATAGTTGAATATTATATGATGGGAGAATGAGACTCTAGTAAATCCACACAGAAAATTGAATAAGACAAGTAACGGTAAAAAATAGTGCTCCCTGCGTTGTATAACCGAGGTTTCAAAACTCTGGAATTAATAAGCAATTATTCCATAATAATATCTACATCGGATATCGTCGGAATGTCAATCTGAAATCTTTTTTTTTCTTTAATTTAATTCTTTATCTTTCATGGATTTGGGCTGTCACTTGGGATTGGGCCATCGGCCCAATAGCTCAGGGCGGCGCCGTGTCGGGTTTGGATTACTGTTAGGGCACTGTTTTTTCTAATTATTCAATGTCGATAAGATTCGACCCTTCCATTCCGACGAATGGGAGCGATTGATTTATAAACAACAACTGGCGGTCCAGACGATGTAAATTTGATGAAATTGATCGGCCAAAAGTTTAATCCGACTTCATCGAATCATTATTCCGATCGTCGACATCGACTACGGCCGGAGAATGTGCACGTGCGGGTCCACGCCCCGTTGGCCATGAGACGAGTCCCTGCGAAGATAATTCCCAATCTCCAATCATCCAGCGTTTATCCGAAATCGATCATGGCTAGCGAGGGAACCAGAGAAAACCTATCAGTTGAATCGCAGAAGAAAGGCGTGGACGTGGAGGAGAAGGAAGATAAAGAGAAAGAGAAAGAGAAAACCCTAAAATTGCCTCCGCCGCCGGAGAAGCCGTTGCCGGGGGATTGTTGTGGGAGTGGATGCGTTCGATGCGTGTGGGACGTGTATTACGAAGAGCTTGAAGCTTACAACAAGCTTTGCGACAAAGGTTCGGCGCCCACTCCCAGTTCTTGAGATTCAATTGCCTTGCTCTTTTGAGCCCTAATTTTATAAATCTGTATTTGGATCTCTTTCTTGTAACTTCTTTGTATCCAAATCCGATCTGTATCTGAATCTGTTTCTATGATAGCCGAAGGGCATTTTTCTTTTGTTTCTGAATCTGTTGATGATTTAAACCTTGGAATTCATCTCTTAATTTCTGAATGATCATAGAATCGCAAGTAGAAATGGAATACATGACTTCAAAATCCAAATAAACTAACTAAATTCGCTATCAAAATCCAAACCCATAACTTCCTTGGAACAATTTGAAATGATTTGTTTTTACCAATCACCCCATGCCATGATGAGTCAAAACCGGAAAAAGCTAATAAATCTTTATCGAATGGGACTTAAAATATCTTTTTTTTTTCTTTTAATTAAAAAATTGAGCTGTACAGGTTTCTCTACGGTCCTGCGGTGGAGAAACCGAAATGCTGTGTTTGCTCCATTATGAGGGCCCTGAAGGCCCAATGGGCCTCATTCGTTATATTAGGCTCAGGAGTTGAAGACTGAAGTATCCTCTGTAATTTGACGAAGATGCGGGGATTTCACTTGACTCTGGTTCTCGCGGTGATCACCCTCACCAGACTTTCTCTGAGAGATGGACTAAACGGAGTCCAAGCTTCGACTTCCACTTCGGCTTTCGTTCAGAACGTCATCTACTCAAACAAGATTGCTATGTTCTCCAAATCCTACTGCCCGTATGTTGTCGTCTTCGCTATCTTTCCTTTTCTATTTCCTGCATAATTCGGTGGCTCAACAGGGGATATTTACACATAGGAATCAATAAATCATAGTGTATTGAGTGATTGCTGCCAATGAATCTAAATTTTTAATATTTGTGATTCTCGGCTTTTTTATGAAAGAATAGAGGATATACGAGTGCTGGATTCGGATGTTTCTAAGCAATTTTGGAGTTGAATAATCTTATCTTTCCCTCGTAACAACTACAACTCAGAAAGTTTGTTTGATTGCTTTGCTATTGGGGTTTTTTTTTTTTTTCCTTCTGGATGATTTCTAATTGATCGGATACCAATTGTCTGTTGTCAGCTTTGAATGATAAGAATCAAAGCGGAAGTCGGTGGTAGGTAGAGCTATTTTTACGTTGGTTGGTTAGTTCTTAGGTATGCGGAGGGATAACTTGTGTTAAGAAACTCTGAAAGTTTAGTACCAAATGAATTCCTATAGAACCTCTATTGTCTAAATTCCAGCTGTGTAATGGAGATTCATATCCATTGTTGAGCGCCTAGCGAACTGGTTGGCATTTGGGATAATTTTCTGAAGAAATTTCAGAAAAGATTTATATATTGAAAATTTTCATCAAAGGCTTGCTTTAGGAACATTAAGCAATTGTTCACTTGTACAATCTTTTCAATCGGGTTCTTGGGATTAGTATTATAGTTGGATTCTTTGCGCTGTTTAATTCATGATTCTATACTATCCTCTCTTTCTTGAATAGAGGCTTAAAGAAATTGCTCCATCTTAGCTAAAGGTTGCAATTTAATATTTCAAAGAACTAATTATGTTTGGTAGCAAACGAACCTTCCTATTCCTGTTTATGTACTGTTTCAACTGTAAGAGTTTGAGGTTTCCCTCACTCCCCCTCTTCTCAATAGTGAAAACTATTCGATTAAATTTGCCGTGTTTATTCTCAAATAATAATATTAATTAATTAATTAAATATAAGGAATCTTCCTATAGGAATAGTGAAAACTACAAAACTATGGTGCTTTAAATGGTCTCTCACTGTCCCTTTTTTATGTAAATAAATAAAAAAGGAATCATCAAGCGACTTATATTCTACTGTTGTCTTCTCCTGCTGATAGATTTTGCTTGCGTGCCAAACGTATATTCAGTGAACTCCAAGAGCAACCTTTTGTTGTGGAGCTTGATCTGAGGGGTATTTAATCGTTCTTTATTTTGTTTATCATTTGCAATATCTAATTGTTTTGAAGAAGCATTTTTACGATCACATTATGAGTATCTACATATACTTGTAGATGATGGATTTCAAATTCAGAGTGTTCTACTAGATCTGACAGGCAAGCGCACTGTTCCTCAGATTTTTGTGAACGGCAAGCATATTGGTGGCTCTGATGGTGAGCTCTCAGTTCCTTAATCGTCCCAAAGTTTTCTAGTTGTCTCTGATTCGGTGAAGTAGAGATATTTCCTCAGATCCAAAATTACCATTTAATTTGGTTTCATATTTTATACAGACTTGAAAGCCGCAGTTGCTAGTGGTCAGTTGCAGAAACTTCTTTCTTCTAATTGATTAGCTTCTGGGAACGAGGAAGCACATATTTACTGGACTGAAGCTGCATAGCAGCATAGAGGAAATTTAACTTTCTGAAAACTTGTGATAATATTTGTTATTTGTTGATACTCTGCAACATGGGCTCCTGTTGACAAATATTTGCCGTCTTGAACAATGAAAACCTGCTTTCTACTTTTAATTACTTGAAGCCATGGTTAAAAGATGTTTGATTTAGATTGCAAACTTGGTTTTAAGTATTTTATAGTAGGATATTATATCTCTTTCTGGTGTCTCAAATATTCTGTAGTGACACACAAAATGGAGATGATTTTTCTGCTTGAGCTGGAATTAGAAGTGTCAGGTATGCCGAATGCTGATTGTTTGTATTAGAGTAAACTTAAAAAAACCTTTAGCTGTTGAAGGGATTGTAAATTAGCCAGAATTATGTGCTTTTGTTTAGAAGCATCAGCTATCCTGCCGTGACAAAGTGACTATATCTCTCAAAGAAGCTGAGGTGAACAAATTAACTTGAAAAATGCTTTCCCACTAAGGAGAAAACTTCCAGGTAGGGTATCCGAATACAATAGTTTGTAATCATTTTCAACTTTATGGATAATTCTAACAATTTGTGGACCAAATCTCTCTCTTTATCTCTCTCTAATGAAGTTCTCGCAGTTTGGGAGCAGCTGATTGCAAGCTTTAAGGTATGTGCCTATTAACCTACTGCACTCTTCCGAAGATACTAGCTGGTCTACAAACCTCTCTAGGGGGTAATTTATTAGAATCGGATGCTTGTTTTTCTACAAAATCAGGAAGACTCTGCATAAGTATCCGGTCGCCAATCGCCTTTCTGAGCACTCAGCAGCCCTTCCTGGTTTTTGGAGAAGGTCAAGTGAACTTCCCAACGGAGAGACTTCAGCAAGTTCTCAACTTCTCCAATGGTGGCGGACTCATCTCGGACAATCAATTTGCCTCCAGGTCTTACTACTCTATCCACCTCCGCCAAGACAGGAGGCAGTTTGCACCTGCACAAGAGAAAAGTCATGCTGGTTCTTCATCTATTCATGGGAAGGAAGCTCAAAAGAAACACAGAAATAGAGGCATCCAGTTCTTCTACCTCTTTTTCAATTTTGAGAAAAGATGATCAGCATGCAGTAGATCATAAGTTCTTGGGTATGTGCTGAAGGATTCACACCAATCATGGTAAATCCCAAAGAGACCACGCTCATAGATCACCGGAAGTGTATCAGGAGAGTCGATGTTCACCACATTCATTACCCAGACTTTAAGGTCTCTCAGAGCTGCTGCAAACCTGCAAGGACAAGGTATGTCTGATATGTTACACATCGAAATGTTTTCACAGGGAAGTATATTTATATTTGTGGAGAAGTTAGGAAGAAACGGAACGATCTACTCCACCCGCC